GCACATAACAACAACAACCTGCTCCTTGGAGGCAAGGATTCTAAGGCTCCGTCTAACATACTTTGGACATGTTGCAAGGAGGGACAGGGTCCTTGGAGACGGACATCATGCTTGGAAGGGTAGAAGGACAGCGCAGAAGAGGAAGGTCCCCTATGAGGTGGATTGCTTCAGTGACTGGAGTAATCGGGATGGATGTGTCCAAGATGGTGCGGTTGGCACAGGATAGAGCAGAGTTGAGGGATGTTGTACATAGGGAAGCTATGAGTCGCGAGCGACTTGATGGCACATAACAACAACAACCTCCAATCCTGATGCCACACTTCCCCTCATAGGGCCCATCCTCCCATATAATCTGTTCTGTATATAGATTTAAAAGATATGGAGCTAGGACACATCTTTAACACACACCCTTCCCAATTTGGAACCATGCAGTGTTTCCTTGCTCTGTTCTAATGACTGCGTCCTGGTCCAAGTGTAAGTTTCACGTAAGCAAAATCAAGTGTTCTGGGATTCCCATTCTATGCAGACAATAATATTGTCTACAAGTAGCATATTTTCCAATTAATCTCTATTTCTGTATGCCCAAAATATAAGTAAGCTAAATAAACTCACCGATCAATCACAATTTCTTTCTGCCTTAGCAGTCCTTCTTTTAATTTCAACACTGATTCCCACTTACTGAATTCCTGATAGTCAGAAGGTGAGTAACTCTGACGAGATGATCCAGTTAAAACCTGCACCAAAAAAATGTTTATAGTATTAATACACTGAAAGTATCATAAGAGAATATTTACATAAAATCTAGTCTTTTCCCTATGATTTTCTTTTAAATATAAAGAATTCTTCCCCTATTTTTTTAAATATTATCTGAAATCATACTTGCGAATATGGCAAAATTTGGAAAACTTTAAGAAAATTCTTATATAAATACATAAACCTAATTAAAAAATGTATTACAATAGAACATTTAACCTTGATTATTATACTACCTGTAAAATCATTATTCCATTATCTTTTGGAGTCTTAACTGAATCAAAAGAGAACCTTTCCTTAAGAAAGGAGTATAATAAAGAAATGTACCACAGCTAGACTAACAATTCTGGGAAAGACTCCACAGGACATGAAACAGGTTTGGAGGTATTCAAATTTCAAAATCATTTATATTATATTAAGATTTCAGAAACATGGATATCCTCACAAACTGGTAGTATTTATGACCACAGGAAATACGACTACCAATTAAGCAAATAATTTTAAGGATTACTGATTCTCAGTTTAAATTATATCATTTGGGAAAAAATCTACTAGAATAAAATACTGACATTTTTGTAAAAATATTATAAAGACTAAAGGGGAAATAGCCTCAACTTTGTTTGAATCATTTATATAATTAAAATTTAAAAAAATCAGTATTAGCAAATGAGAAAGGAATACAATACTGTAAGCCCCTTGACAAGCTAAACAAACATGACAAGGAAACTAATAAAATTCAAATGTGCACTACTATTTATACCCTTTGTTTTCCAAAGATGATGCTATTAAACCTTGCTTCTGAATATTCAACTAGTTGAGGGGCATCAATGGGCTCTATAACCTTTTAAATAAAAGTAACTGTCAAGTAATATTTAGAGGGATATTTTATGCAGGACAAAGATAAGATGAACAAAACAGGAAGGATGGAAGAAGCCAGGTGATAATAGGGTATGTAAAGGTCTGATGCACAGTTTTGAGACTTACTTGGAGTATAAGTGATACTAACTGTTAGAACAGTTGTCACACAGAGCTCTTCTCTCTAAATTCCACCCTTTACCTTTGCCTGGCAAAGCTAAGCTCTTTATTCAAAGCTCTGGCGGCCTAGTGTACAGAGTTGTGCTGCCAACCCAAAGGCAGGAAATTCAAATCCACCAGCTGCTCCATGGGATAAAGATAGTCAATCTCCTCCATGCGATTTACTGCCTGTGAAAACCCCCAAGAAGATCAGCTATGGATCAATTATGACTTGACAGTATACAATAAACCCTTGCCTAGCACACAACAGGGCTGGGCAGCCAGCACACATTTGCTAACTCATTTTATGAGATCAGCGTTTGTTATCTTGATATTAAAACCAGACAAAGACAGTAGGAAAAGAACATTTTGTATGAAATACACAAAATCATCAAATCAAATCCAAATTTATGCATATGGATAGGCAGAGCATAACCATTATAATCATCCTAAAAATAGAAGATCAGATTTTTATTATCTCAATAAACAGAGAAAAAGCATTTGATGAAATTCAATCTCCATTTATGAGACTAAAAAAGGTAAACAAAAACCTCTCAGCTAACTGGAAATGAAAGATCACTTTGTAAATGTGATATATGTCATTATGTGCTGTCAAATCACTTGCAGCTCAAAGTGACCCTAAATATCACAGCTCTGAACCCTGCTCTATCCTGAGCCAACCTTACTGTCTCAGACACACCTAACCTCATTACCCCAGTCACTAAGTAAATCCACATCATCCAGGGTCTTTCTCTCTTGCACTGTATCTCCACTCTTCTAAGCATAATGTCCCTCATGATGGTTCCTCCTTACAACATGCCCAAAGTATGTCAAGATACTTGAGAATCCTTGCCTTCAAAGAGCCACCTGGTTTCGCCTTCTTCAGGATGAACCTATTTATTCTCTTAGCAGCCCATAGTATATTCTATACTCTCCTCCAGAACCACACTCAAAGGCATAAATTTTTCTTCCATCATCCTTAGTCATTATTCCACTTTCTGATGTATAGCAAGTAATTGCAAAGACTATGGCCTGTATCAGGTGCACCTTAGTCTCTTGACTGACACTGTTGCTCCTCAGTACTCTGGAGAGGTCCCTGACTGCTGACTTTCCCAATGCAATTGTTTTTTAATTTCCTGGCTTCTGGTACCAAGAATGTTGATTGTTGAGCTAAGCAAAACAAAGCTGTTAATTTTAATCTTGTCACTTTCTATCATGATGCTGCCAATTGGCCTAGCAATGAGAATCTTTGTCTTCTTGATGTTGAACTTCAAGCCATATTGAAAGCTGCAGTCCTTGATCTTCTGCAGCAAGTGCTTCAGGTCCTCCTCAGTTTCAGCAAGCAGGGTTGTGTCATCGGCACAATTCAGACTGTTGATGAGTCTTCCTCCAATTCTGATGCTATATTCCTCCTCGCAGAGTTTGGTACATGATATAGAGCATCTCTAACAACAACTTTACAGTCAATAATAATATATAATGGACAGAAACCAAAAGTGCTCTCTGTAACATAAACTATATCCCCCTATTCAAATTAGTTTCAGTAGTTCTTAACAGTGTAGCAAGGCAGATGAAAAGGAACTGTAAATTTGGAAAGAAAAAACTGTAAATATTGTAATTAAAATACTTCAATACAAAAATCTTAAGCAATCCCCAAGAAACCTACTATAAAAAGTAACATTAGAAGGGTAAATTTAAAAAATAAAAATA